CCAGTTCCTGGCTCATGATGATACTTAATGAACATTTGTTGAATAGGTAATTTTTCCCCCTTAGTGTGTTATTTTCAGAATCTTTTTGGAGCTTTTGCACTTAATTCCTTTTCAGATAATTGTATATGTCAAAATCAAACTTCAGAATAAGAATTTACTGGCCAGAACACCATTTAGTACTTTATATGATAGGAAGGAGTAAAACCACTGGCTAAAGTGAAAAATTTTTTGTGGGTGGACACAGTGGCTCATGCCTTTGATCCTAGCACAATGGGAGGCCAAGGCAGGAGGATTGCTTGAGACCAGGAGTTCAAGACCAACCTGGCCAACATAGTGAGACCCCCATCTCAAAAAAATGAAGTTTAAAAATTTTTTAAATTAGCCGAGCATGGTGCTGTGTACCTGTAGTCCCAGCTACTCGGGAGGCTGAAGCTGGAGGATCCCTACAGCCCAGGAGTTTGAGGCTGCAGTGAACTTTGATCCTGCCCCTGTACTTCAGCCTGGGCAACAGAATGAGACCCTGTCTCTACAAAACACAGAAACAGAAACTTTTTTTTTTTTTTTTTTGTAGTAAATTCTCAATAGGTTGTCAAGGAAACTTACCGAGGAGAGCTATTTACCAGTAACAGTGTTTGCTTTGAAGTGTGGCTACAAACTAATGAGGCTTGCTTCCTTCAGCCTCATTATTGTAGTCTTAGTTCATATAGTCATGGTTGAATGTGCAAAGCAGTAACACTTGCTAGGTTTACTAATTAGTGTTTCACATTGATTGAAATTTAGAAATTGAATGCTTATACTTTGTCAGAGGTTTCCTTTTCTTTGCTTTAGCTTTGAAATATTCCTGTAAAGGTTTTTCTTTTGGACTGTAACTTCATTGCATGGCCTTAGTCAGCCTTTGAAGCAATGCGTAGGTTTATAATGGCTGGCAAGCACTTTACCGGGAAGTGAGGGAAGAAAGACTATGTGTTGTTATTTATACAACAAGTCAGTGGAGGATTAACCCATTTTACTACTTTTTCTTCTTGAATCTTTTTGTAGTTGGATAAATATGACTTAAATGCCTTTGTCTAGAGTCTTTGGAGGGCTTTTTTTTTTTAACCTTGTAATTTGAATTAACCTACATGCTTATATTTGGGTTTATTTTCTTTTGATAAGGAATGTTTTAAAATGTAAGATTGGTCACAGTTATTGGTCACAGGCACTAGTTTTATGATTTAGTAAATCACTGGCCAGGCGCAGTGGCTCACGCCTGTAATCCCAACACTTTGGGAGGCCTAGGCAGGCGGATGACCTGAGTTCGGGAATTCGAGACTAGCCTGACCAACATGGAGAAACCCCATCTGTACTAAAAATACAAAAATTGGCTGGGCATGGTGGTGCATTCCTATAATCCCAGCTACACAGGAGGCTGAGGCAGGAGAATCGTTTGAACCTGGGAGGCGGAGGTTGTGGTGAGCTGAGATCACGCCATTAAACTCCAGCCTGGGGCAACAAGAGCGAAACTCCATCTCAAAACAAAACTAAGGATAACCTGGAAGCTTACTCCATTGAGGTATAGACTCTGGGGGAAAAAAAGTAGCACTGACTCCCTTCAGCTTTTACAAAATGACTGTGATTGGCTGGGCGTGGTCAGACACCTGTAATCCCATCACTTTGAGAGGCTGAGGTGGGTGGATCACCTGAGGTCAGGAGTTCAAGACCAGCCTGGCCAACACGGTGAAACCCCATCTCTACTAAAAATACAAAAAACTAGCTGGACATGGTGGCGGGCGCCTGTAATCCCAGCTATTCGGGAGGCTGAGGCGGGAGATTCACTTGAACCCAGGAGGCAGAGGTTGCTGTGAGCCAGGATTGCACCACTGTACTCCAGCCTGGGCAGCAGGAGCAAAACTCCATCTCAAAAAAAAAAAATAAAAAAAATAATAATAATAATAATAATACTGTGATTGCAAAACTAGTATTTTTTAAATTGAAATGAAATTCACATAACATTAGCTTTTTTATTTTTTATTTATTTATTTTTTTGAGATGGAGTCTCGCTCTGTTGCCCAGGCTGGAGTGCAGTGGCCGGATCTCAGCTCACTGCAAGCTCCACCTCCCGGGTTTATGCCATTCTCCTGCCTCAGCCTCCCGAGTAGCTGGGACTACAGGCGCCTGCCACCTCGCCTGGCTAGTTTTTTGTATTTTTTTTAGTAGAGACGGGGTTTCACCGTGTTAGCCAGGATGGTCTCGATCTCCTGACCTTGTGATCCGCCCGTCTCGGCCTCCCAAAGTGCTGGGATTACAGGCTTGAGCCACCACGCCCGGCCACATTAGCCATTTTAAAATGAACAATTCATTGGCATTTAGCAATCACCATTTCATATCTACTTTCTGAATACTTTCATCTTCCCCAAATAAAGCCCTGTACCTGTTAGGCAGTTGCTACTCGTTTTCCCCTTCCTCCAGTTCCTGGTAACCACCAATCTGGTTTCTGTTTCTCTGGATTTGCTTATTCTGTGTATTTCATATACATGGAATCATACCATATGTGACCTTCTGTGCCTGGCTTCCTTCACTTAGCATGTTTTCAAGGTTCATCCATGTTGTAGCATCTGTCAGCAATTCATTTTTTTAATGGCTGAATAATATCCCATTGTATGTATAGGCCACATTTTGTTTATTCATTCACTCTTATTGGATATTTGAGTTTTTACCTTTTGGTTATTGTAAATAATGCTGCTATAAACATTTGTATGGAAGTATCTGTTTGAGTACCTGTTTTTAGTTCTTTTGGTTACATACCTAGCAGTGGAGTTACTAGATCTAATGGTAACTTTATGTTTAACTTACTGAGGAACAACCAAATTGTTTTCCACAGTGGCTGAATGAAGCATTGTACATTTCTATCAGCAGTGTACGAGGATTCCAATTTCTCTACATCCTTGCCAGCACTTCTTATGCTGTGTTTGGTTGATTGAATTATAGCTATCCTAGTGAGTGCGAAGTAGTATCTCATTTTGGTTTTACTTTGCATTTCCCTAATGACTAATGATGTTGAGCATCTTTTCATGTGCTTATTAGCCATTTGTATATCTTCTCTGTAGAAATGCTGTTTATCTTTTTGTTGTTTTAGATACTGGACCTGTATTAAATATAGAATTTGCAGATATTTCCTCCTGTTGTGTAGGTTGTCTTTTCACATTCCTGATTATGTCCTTTGTTACACAGAAGTTTTTAGTTTCAGTAAAGATCAATTTATCTTGTTTACCCTTTTGTTGCTCATGCTTCATATCTAAGAATTTGGCATATCTTGCCAAATTCAAGATCATGACAGTTTACTCCTGTGTTTTCTTCTAAATGTGTTATAGTTTTAGCTCTTACGTTTAGGTTGTTGGTCTATTTTGATTTCATATAAGGTCTGAGATAGTCCAATGAGAGGATTTTTTTTTTTTTTTGAGTTGGGTGTCTCACTCTGTGGCCTAGGCTAGAATGCAGTGGCTTGATCATAGCTCACGGCAGTCTCAAACTCCTGGGCTCAAGAAGTCTTCCCAAGTAACTGAGACCACAGGTGTGCACCACTAAGTCTGGGTAAATGTTGTATTTTGTTTTGTTTTGTTTTGTTTTTTTGTAGAGACGAGGTCTCATCATGTTGTCCAGGCTAGTCTTGACCTCCTGGGCTCAGGCAGTCCTCCTGCCTTGGCCTTCCGAAGTGCCAGGATTACAGATGTGAGCCATCACACCTGGCTCTTACAGTACCTTTTAACTGAGTATATGTACATATCAACCAAAAACTGTGGATTTCATAGTATTTTAAATTATTTTGCATTGTATTAATCAAAGCAGAACTTAAAATATATTTGAAAAATAGTACTTGTAAATTTAAGACAATTTTTCAGTCCATGGCTTATACACAAGTGACTGAATATGGATTCATGGATTTCCTTCCCATAACACCATGATCTTCTATGAATCTACAGATCACATATTTTGTAGATGAGCATCAGAAGAATCTCTTATGACAGGGAAGAGAGACTGAGGATGAAGGTAGAGTTTCCAAGGATCCATAGCCGCAGAGACCTCAAGGAAGAAGCTGGGGATAACTGGAATGTCATTAACTAGAAGGCAGTGGTGGAATCTGTAAGGGCCAGAGAGGAAGTAGCATTTCATTTGAGGCAACAAGGATGGTTGCAGAGTTTGGTTTGTAGGCTCACAGGTCATCATCAGAAAGTAATGGTTTAGGGAGCAGTTGAAGATTCCTTTATTTCCTTTGGAAATAATGCCAACTCAACTCAGCCTCCAAACAGGGATTCCAACTGACTTTGTTTAGCATCTTTCCTACAGAGAGGGATAAGGAAGGAAAGGGAACTAGGCAAATTCTAGATTTTTATTTCAACTCTGACCAGAATGCTGGCTGAGTCTTTAAAAAAAAGTCCGGTTTTATTTTAGCTGAAAATGTGATGAAAGGAATTTTTCTACTTCTCATGTGGCCAGGAGAATTAGGGTCCCTTAGAGTCTAGGGTGGTGTATTGTATTGGCCTGTGGCCATCTGATGGAGCAGGAACTGGGATACAGCTCCCAGTTCATGAGTGAGAAACTTGGTGGGGAAGTGTTGGATCACAATGGCAATCATGGTCAAGGGCCTTCTGTCTTCTGGCCAGCTTTTTCAGTGCTGACAGGCTCATCAGTGACAATCTTCTTTTTTTTTTAAGTCTTTTTTCCACCTTGTCAGGTCTGTGTCCAAAGGGCAAAAGGAACAAGGAGGGGATAAATGAGCAGGTGATTGAGTGTCTGAGGGGAGTGTAGAGATAATGGTCTTCAGATGCCCTTCTGCTTTTACTGGCTGATTGCCTACTTTTTCAAATAGAAACGAAAGCTACTTTGCAAGAAGTGATTTGGGAAGGCATAAACAAAGAATGGGTCTTGGTTACTTTGATGTTTGTGGTGTTTAAACTCTGAATTTGTGTGGATGTGTCTTTTTGAATTTTTAACCCCCCCATGCAACCTTTGTGACTTAACAGGTGCTACTTGTGAGCAGTAGTCGCCATCCAGACAGATGGATTGTCCCTGGAGGAGGCATGGAGCCTGAGGAGGAGCCAAGTGTGGCAGCAGTTCGTGAAGTCTGTGAGGAGGTATGCATGGAGAAGAGAGGGCACAGCTATGCCTCGTCATCATGAACCTGTCCTATCTGTGTAGTTCTTTAATAAATCAGCACTCACTGAATAAATGTACAGTCACAGAAAAAGGGCAATGAATGGTTACCCGGTCCCTCCTTTATTACCGGATGGGGTTGTGACATGGTAATGTTAACCAGGCACTCTATGCCAGACTTCCCATGACTTTTTATGCCAGACTTTTGTGACTTCCCATGGATTTCTTCCAACACTGCCTATTACCTGTGGCACAAAATCAAGAAGCAAATCGTTCCTCACCTCTAAGGAGTAAGAGGAACAGGCAGCATTAGTATAAATGACTTATTGTCATTAAGCTTTGGAGGAGGCCCTTGTTTTCATGTGCTTACTGCATCCTAGCCATGGAACTGTGGCTAAAGCAGTGAATCTGTTAGCTAGATACTATGGTACAACTTGAGAGATAATAGTATCTTCTTTTTTATTTAGTCACAAGATGTTCCACATACATGTGTTGAGTTTCTGGGCCATGATATCCTACTAGATACTCCAGAATAAATAGAAGAAATAAAGTCATGGACCCTTAGTTCTCTTATTTCAAGCATTTACAGTCTGGGGGAAACTGAGAAACCCAGAGAAACGAACTATTGTTTTCCCATAGCCTCTTGTGGTGACACCATGCTCTGCTCTTCTTGTTATCTCATTTAGGACTCATAACTCAGTTGTGTAAGCTTTATTGCCACAGTTTACTCACCCTGGTCACATAGGTAGTGCTTTTGAAATCCATTTCCTTGTTCTAGAGGGAATTTAAGATTGATTCTAAGAACATATAAAAAAGCACTTACAACAAGTCTAATTTCTATGTTTCTTTTGGATCCAGCTTTTGGTGAAGTGCACTTAGAATAATCTTACCCTTGGAATATCCAAGGAAGTCTTGATTCTCGCTCTGAATTCCTAGACTTACATTGGCTTATGTTACTGTCGTTGTAGCATCTATCTTACTCCCATAACTAAATTGTTCTCTCTGAGGGCAAAAATCACGTTTCCCATCAAAAATCCTTACTTTCCGTGCCTATTACACAGCTAGGTGAACAGAAAGTAATTAATATATGCTTCTTTGATAGATGGAACAATGGTTGGAACAATGCAGATGCTGAAGAAATACCCTAAATGGAAATTGTCAGAGTATAGAAAGTGATAAACATTGACAGAGAGGATATGAGAAGGCATTCTTACAGGAGGCTAACCTGGGTAGAACCAAATGGAATCAAGAGAGGGTGTAATGAAGAGAACATTGACGTGGGAATCCTGGTTTCTGTTACTGTCAGTTAATAACTGTGTGACCTATGAGAAAATAACTTTAAACACCCTGGACCTTTGTCCGTCATTTGAATATCTTCCTTTTTACTCCATCGTGGAGGGAGGGAGGGGAATATGAGGTTCAAATGAGAACATGAGTATGAATATCCTTTGTGAATTATGTATCACTCTACCACATAGGATGTATGCAGCTGAAAATAATATTATGCCCATTACTGTTCCGTAACAGGCTTATTATATCACATAATAAGTCGTCCCAGGTTGGCTGACTCAGCAGTATTAAGAACCCAGGTGCTTCCCGTCTTTCTGTTCTGCCATCCTTGGTACATTGGCTTTTGTTTGCGGGCTTGTCTCCTGTGGTGACAAGATGGCTATCACAGCTCTATCCTTACACATTCTTTTCAAATGTAGGGCACACAGTTTTACCTCATGGGTCTCTTTATTTGAGAGAAAAGAAATTTTCCCCAGAAGGTCCCCAGCAGACTCTTTATGTTGGTGTTCCAGAGTTGCTTCGCATGCTTGTGCTTAAACTTCCTGGCAAAAGGTATATCAGTTCCATGTTTAAACTACTAGAGCCTTCACCGTCTAGGATTTGACTTTGAGAAACCTCTTAGACTTTAATTTAAAGCAATTGAAAAGCATGACCAATAAGAGAAGATAAAATGTTTATTTTGTTAGAAATTTAACTTATATTGGAATGTGCCAATACATGTTTACTCTAAAAAAAATGAATAGATAATATATAATTTTAGAGTGAGAAAAAATTTATTATACAGGCCATACAGTCTCTGTCACAGCTACTTAACTCTGCCATTATAGGGCAAAGGTAACCATAGACAGTAAAATACATAAACAAATGGGCCCGGTTATGTTCCAGTGAAGCCTTATTTATAAAAACTGTGGTGAACCATAGATAATGCCTGGTTTAAGCTCTTGCTACTCAGAGTGTAATTGATGGACCAGCAACATCAGCATCAGCCAGGAGCTTGTTAGAAATGGAAAATCTCAGACCCCAACCCAGATCTACTGTATCAGAATCTGATTCTAATAGGACCTCTGGTGATTTTGAGATCCTACTGCCTTAGAGTATTGAATTCTTACCAATGAGTGTTCTGAGAATTCTTCCTGATGGATCTGTGGAGAGAAATGCTCTTTGAGGGATGGACTGTGGTTTAGTGGTCTCCACACCCATTCCAATGACTCTTCTGACATGGAGAGATTAGAAAGCTAAAAAGTACTTTTCCTAGACTCAGGTAAGGAATGCAACTAAGTCTCCTTGATGATATTTAGATATCCCCAATACAAAGCACTTGTACAAGATTGCTGTACTCACGAGGAGGTCATGTTCTGAGAGCAGCGGGCCCATCTGTTTTGGTGGCACACATTTAGACAAAGGAGATATGGTTTTGGAATTGGCAGCTATAGTGTCAACTTCCTGATTTGGCTGGTGGCTTTTATTTGGCAGCTTCCTGATCCATCCCAGAGACAGCAACTCCCTTGGCAGTCCAGTTCTGCCATGTGGTTTTAAGAATTGTTCTTGGAACCTTGGTCTGTGTTTCTTGAACTCTCCTAGTGATTTTGTAAACTGTTTTTATCCCTTATAAACCATTATCTTAAACTAATCAGGTGGAATTCTGTTGTCTGCAATTAAAAATCTTGACCCAACCAGATTCCCTGTGAATGTTAACAGCTGCTTTAGTTGTATCAGACGTTCTCCTCTGCTTGGCCATGCTAACCCATCAAGGAATTGAGGTGTCTTTGCAAAGCATCCCCCTCTAGAGAAGAGTGTCCAGTGGCCCGTGAGAGAGGTGTCTGATCTACAGTGTGTCAGTAGTTTAATCAGGCAGACCTGTTTCTGTTGGAAAATGAAGCTGTGACAGAATCCAGTTCAGAATCTGCACCTTCCTCATAACTGTTTACTGATTGAATGTTACTTGTCTGTTCAACAGATATTGAGTGCCTATCCATCTTGCACAAAATACCGGGCCACAAATTGGGGATACAGAAATTTGGGTTCTACCATCATCACATGAGCTTAACGTCTCACTAAGAATACAGAGTTAATAGGAAACTATAATTTGAAAATTCAACTTTGAGGGAACAGTTTGTACAGCATGCTGGGGCACTTGTTGGCAGAGTAGCCAACTCTGGCACAAAGACTGGCTCCTAGGAGAATGTCTGGATGGTTATAGACCTGCTCATTTAAGATTTTTCCATTTTGGAGGGACTTTGGGGATACAGTAGGTAGTGTGATGGTGGTCTTGTACATGATATCCCCACATAAGGGAGATTAGATAGAGGAGGGATGAAGTAGCTGGTGAGCTTTTCTTTACTGTGAAGCAGAATTGGGTTCCCACTTTCCTGTCAGACCTGGGATAATGCAGAATTAGAAGGGTGTAGACACACCCTGAAGGCCAGGTATGATTCTGTACTTTGCATCCCTAGGCCTGAGGGCACCAGAAGCTTTGCCTAATTCTTTCTGTAGGAACTCGAAGTTTGACTGTTCAAATAAGTGGTGTGGTAGGGCCCGTTGGTGGACCTAAACTGAATAATTTTGATTTAAATCCAGTTGGCTTCTGTAGGTTCTAAGGTGCTTAAGGCAAAAATAGTATTTGAGAGTGACCATGCAGTTGTGGATTCAGACAGATTGTTACAAGACCTGAAATGGAGTGGTGGTTCTCTAGTAGAGAGAGAGGAAAAGGTTCAAAGACCTTGTGCAAAGACTTGATACTTGGTTTTGGGAGTTGTGGTTGGAATATCTCTGGCCATTCTACTTTTGTAGAGCACATTTGGAATTTGTGTCTCTTTCAGGAAAGCTTACCTTATTTGTTGTCACTGTTGCTGTTCTGTGTTTGAGTGTTACAGTCGAGTTGTCCCTCGGTTATACAAGTGCAGCTAAGATGTAGAAAACCAGATGTTTGCAACAGGAAATGCATTGAGGGAGTAGGAAGGATATAGGGTACTGTACTTTTGTTTCCTGGAAATTGCATACTATCCTTCTATAGGTAAAAGGGAGAATAGTGTGAAATAGGAATAAAGTGCTCGTGAAACAAGGAAATGAAAAGTGCAGCACAAATAATTAAACTACACTCCTCATATGTTTAGTATCTTACCTAGCTCCTCTCTTGAAAGAATCCTGATCTTGAAACTTTATTCTCTCAGTAATACTAGAATAAAGTATGGGATATGATGATGTGATTCTTCTTTGATTGTAGGCAAGCTCTGCCTGCCATTCTCAGCCTTAAAGAATCCTTCCTGACTTTAGATCGAGACCATCCTGGCTAACGTGGTGAAACCCCATCTCTACTAAAAATACAAAAAAAAAAAAAAATTAGCCGGTCGTGGTGGCGGGCGCCTGTAGTCCCAGCTACTCGGGAGGCTGAGGCAGGAGAATGGTGTGAACCTGGGAGGCGGAGCTTGCAGTGAGCAGAGATTGCACCACTACACTCCAGCCTGGGTGACAGAGTGAGACTCCGTCTCAAAAAAAAAAAAGAAAAGAAAAAAATAATAATCCTTCCTGACTTTGAGCAAATTATTTTTTCTGCAGTCAGAGGAGAATCATCTAATCTTATCCCATATTTTATTCCAGCATTATTGAGAGGATAAAAAAATGTCTGTGAACTGCTTTGAACTTTAGAATAAGTATCCAAATAAATAAAATGTACACACAATAAAAATAAAGA